CTGGAGCAGATAGCTTGGGCCAAGGCTAGCCTGTTCACCCTGTGACGGGTTTAGGGGGAGGTGCAAAGCATCCTCAGATGCCGGCAGACCGTGAGTTGACTTGAATCTGAAGGGGATCTGGGACAGAAGTTCAATAAACCTGGATGGATGTAGTACCACTTAACTGATTTAGGTTAGATCAGTTTACCTTAAACCAGTTTTGAAAGCAGTTATGTGCACTGAACTTTTCTTGTGTTACAGATTTAAACCGTATCCAATCTTTGGCTTGTGTATAATTTCTGTCTCGAGCCGTATTCAAAAAGTTCTTTCTAATCTTCAAACTAAAATTTCCTCTGCTGCAGATTGAGTCCAGTGTTTCTAGTCCAGCCTCCTATGGCCATAGAGAAAAGCCTATGTCTATCCTTTCTGTAAATCACCCTTTAGGTATTTAAAGACTGTTATCCTCTATTAGTCTTGTCTTCTCCAGACATAAATAACCCTAGTACTTTCAGCCTTTCCATATGAATCATGCTTTCCAGGCCAATCATTTTCATTGCCTTCTGCTGGACTCTTTCCAATCTGTCCACATCTTTCTTGAAAAGCAGGGCTAAAACTGGACACACAGTACTCCAGGTGAGCCCTCATCAGTGCTAAAGAGAAGAAAGATCACCATATTTTTTGAAAATCTTTGAAAGAACCACTTTATTCTGTGGCAAGAAACAGGCTGACAGTGACTAGAAAAGACTAGGAGGAAAAAGTCTCATCATGCAGGAGCCTACAATAGTTCTGTCTCATTTGGCTGTATTGGCAATTGGACTGTTTTCTACTTTGGCAGTCTTACTAGCAGAGCCATACCAAGGTAGTTTTACATCCTGGGCAGCAATGGTATACAGAAAAGCAGCCAAGCTAGCAGCAACTGCTTTTCTGGTACCCCTCTCTAGTTGGCACCTAGGGCTGCTGCCCGGTTCACATCCTCCTTAGCTGCATTATTGTTCTGTGGTTACCTTCAGGTCTTAATGCACTTGATAGAAAAATATTTATTTTTTTGCATTCCAAAACCCCATTAAGTAAGGCAACGATACTAACAACATACCCAATCTCACACTTCTTTACAAAAAAGGAGACTGAAGCACAGAGAGGGTAAGTAGCTTTCTCAAGGCCAACTATTAACTTTTTGAGCACAACTAGGATAAGAACCTCAAGGTGTCTAATTTCCATTACAACTCTGACCAGCAGACCATATTTCACTCTCAGAGAGATTCAGTGCAACAGATCAGGTCATGGATTGCTGCAGATGTACATTCAGTGCCTCTGATACTGGTCACCACTTTATCTCAGAGAGGAGCTATTTCCCTTTGTAATATTCAGAAGTTTATGATTACAATCTGTGATGGCTGATAATACATACTTCATACTCTTCGGCAAATCCACAGTTTGAATCAGCTTGCTGTTTCTTAAAGTAGGACTCAAAGTTTTCAACTTTAATTGGCTTTGACCTAAAATGAATAAAACCCCTTATTAGTATTCATTATTAGTTAAATACCGGACAAATTCAATTCATGACAAATTTATATTTATAAAATGTGAATTACTTACTTCTTAGGTCTACAGGGAGGGAAAAAGAAAAAAATAGTTAGAGACATTGTAGCTGTACTCTTTGCTATGTGACTAACAGGTTTTTTTAATTTTTATCCTCCTCAAACTCTGGCCTAAGAAAGGGCATAAGGACACATTGTTCCAATGTTCTGCTCAGGCTGAGTGCACAATGCAATTCAGTTAGGAGTATGCAAAAAGGGGCATATACCATATGCTCCCAAATAAGACATACATCTTATGCTGGGAAAATGGAATAAAAGAGAAAAAAAGTGTTTTTCCAGTCATGCCTGAATGTTTACTTCAGGGGAACCTGACTGCAGCGGCTGTGGCTGTCACAGGGTTAACCCTGTAGCTCTGGCTACAGCCCCCTGCTCAAGGCAGGAGTAGCACTGAAGGGTGAACTCTTCCCCCTCCCTCCCTGAAGTGGGCAGAGGAAGAAGCATAGCAGCCATATTGCAGTAGTGCTTCCCTGCTTCTATTCCAGCAAAGAAAAATCAAAAGTGAATAAAAGTGTTAGCTCCACTCAAGACATGCACTCCAGTTTTAGAGTACTGATTTTTGGGGAAAGGGTGTGCGTGACATACAACTAAATACAATAATAACCTTTGTGCTTCTCATCTACTAAGCTGGTCACAGTAGGCCAATTATCCTGAAACTTTTGCTCCCTGCCAAAAACCTTAAAGCTGGGGGTCACTAGGAGGCTTTGTCCAGGCTCTTCCCTTGTTATGAGAATTGCAAAAGACAACCTATGATGGCTTTTCACTGTCTGTGGTTTATGGTACACTGCATTTTATCCTTCCATGTCCAGCTACACTGGTTTTAACATTACTTACACTGAAGGTTCAGCTCAAAGTAGCCCTACCCTGGGCCATAGGGCAAAATCCTTTTTGAATATAGAAAGGCTACAAATAGGGTTCTTAAACAATGTATCTTATAATCTGAATTGTGTCCATAAAAATAAATAGAGCTGAGATCAGCAAAACTGATAAGGGCACCTAGACATCTAAATCTGTTTAATTATAATAGAAAGTGGATGTTCAAATCCTTTCGACAGCTGTTAGAAGTCTCAGCCTCTTAATTATTTTAGATGGCAGCAGGTTGCATTTGGTTCTCCATAAGGAATCCAAGTATTTAAAGCTGTAATACTCAGCTTATAACATGGTATAACACAAAACTACCAGAGTTCTGAGCAGATATTGCTAATATCACAAACTGAGAAATTAACGGGTGAAAGAATATAAACTCACTTAATCTGAGAAAAGGACACATCATTATTTTTTCCATTTTTCCTGTAAAGGGGAGAAAAACCACAAGAGGTTAGTAGAATTTATGCAGAACACATGCATGATTCTTGGTAGACTCCTTCTATGCCTGGTCAGACTAGTGGTCGCATCTACAAGAGACACCGATTGCGCAGTAGCTCATTACTACTAGCGTTGCTTGGCAGAAAGCATGATGCAACACTACTGTGCAGCAGTAATGAGCTACTGCACAGTCAGTGTCACCTAAAAGCCGTTTGGTGTCATCTAAAAGCTGGGGCAGCACGGGGCAGGTAGTGGTGGCAAAGAGACACCCAGTGCAGATCTCTGCTCCCTGTGGAGCCAAGTCGTCTGGCAGGGCAGCAGCATACAGCTGTCCCCCTGCAAGCCCGGCTCCAAAATTTTCTGAAACACTTAGGATGCCTCGTTTTGTTTAAGAGATTTTTCAGAGCCTCCCGTTTCAATTCAGATTCAGTATTTTGGGCGCCCAAATGGCCCGAAACACCTCTGAAATGAAATGGCTGGCAAAATTTCGCACAGCCCTACTAAATGGCTCGGCAGTAACAACTGTGCAGTCAGCGTCTCATGTAGACACAGCCAGTTTCCTGTATAGCATCTAGTCCTGTGTAAGGAGACCTTCCTGAGATTAACTTTATGCCCTACACTTACAGTAGGCATTAAAATAAGTAGCAGAAAATATGATCGTGAATGAATCACCCCCTATCTTTTGGGTGCATAGTGGTGTCCAAGGCCTGAATGTGTAGCTAACCTAAACCCATGACTAGAGGGACTTGATTGAGGAGGCGGCCAACAAGCTTCTTTTTCATGTAGATGGCCAAGAAGGAAATACAATGCCACCCCTGGTTTAAGTGTGGCATTTTAAATTCCACCCCCTGTGGCATTTTATCCAAGTTTGGAACCAGGGTAAATTCCATAAGTACAAATTATGGATTCATAGATTACAGAGTTGGAAGGGACCCAGTGGATCATCGCGTCCAACCCCCTGCCCCTGGCAGGAAAGAGGACCGAAGTCAGACAACCCCAGCCAGGTGACTGTCAAGCCTCCTCTTGAAGACCTCCAAGTTAGGTGATGGTACTACCTCTCTTGGAAGCCCATTCCAGAGTCTGGCTACCTGTACTGTAAAAAAAATTCTTCCTAATGTCTAACCTAAATGTACCCTCCACTAGTTTGCACCCATTATTCCTAGACTGTAAGTTTCTAACTCCCATCATGCTGACCAGTGCCTTGTTTCCTTATACTAACCCCCTCTATCCATTGTAGCTTGCTTCTTCGTAACTTGAATTCTAAGCTCTTTGGTCCAGAGACAGTCTTTATGCTGCACTGGTATAAATTAAAATTTCAATATAGACAAGGCCCCAGAAACACTGTTAACAGCATTTAAATCAAAGTCAACTGCATTAGAAGTTTATTCAGGGAGTTTAAGCCCTGGCTGAATGACTTTAAAAAAAAAAGATCATCACATCTACAAAAGCAGCTGTCCCCTAGGCTTTTTCACTTAGGAAGCAACCATTGGCCATAGATGGAAACTGGTAGAAGGGAACAGCAACTAGACAAAGAAAGAGCCGAAGCTGTAGTAAGTGTCTGGTAAAGTTTATGGTACTGTTAGAAGGATGTTGTAGCTGCAATGGTCCAGGAATTGAGAGGGGCAAGAATTATTTTTTATTTTTATTTCCCCCCCCCCGGGGTGGGGTGGGGGGGGATATCTTGCACTGGACCAACTGCATGGCTGGAATGAAAAAGTTAGACAAGCTTTCAAATGCAGACATGATAAAGAATATTTTGCTTTCAAAAGCCTGTCTAACTTTATTCCAGCCATGCAGTTGGGCCAATACAAGATATGGCCCCTCCAGAATCCTTGTCTTCGGAAACTTTTAGTAGCTTTTTAGAATTGATGCTGCACAGTATTTAACTTGTAACAAATAGCCCTTAAGTCCCAGTTGCCTACAAAAGACCAGAACTGTGAACCATTATGAGCATATCTCAGGTATCTACAGGAGCACAGTGTCAATGGATTATTTGCAGATAACATAACATCTGAAAGCTTGTTTGTCTGCTACGTCATCTCTAGTAAGCCTTACTATTACCTCCAGAAAATAAATTTCACATCAGATCTTGTGTTCTAGTATAATATTACAAAGCAATGCCTGTCAAAAAGAAAAGGCTTTCCTGGATATCTTCAAATAAAATCAGATTAATATTCAAATATATTAAAATACTAGTTACAAGCATGTCCTGTACCACTGCACGTATGTGACATTTAAAAAAATGGCCTGATTCTAATCAGTTACTTTAACACCAGTATGTACATTCACAACAGTGTACCAGAATAGATAGACCAGTGATATAGAGTCATGCTAAAGGCTTTTTTCTCAAACTACCTACCAAGTTTGATGGATCCACTTTGAGTTGCTATCATATAAATGCAAATTTTCAATAAATAGAAGAGCAGTTCCATTCTTTTCTGAGAGTGTAAGTGTTGGGGTCATGATCCCTAGTTTGGGGGACTCCTGAGATGCACTGTATTTTAAAATATCACTTTAAAAGTGTATGAACAGGAATCTTGGTCATTGTTATGCTTTAGTATATTAACACTGAACTACTACTGCCCTTTCAAAAAGCCAGTGTTATTAGTAACATCTTACCTTCTCCTTCTCCAGAAAACAAAGACCACTACAAGAAGTACAGCCAAGATGCACAAAATAGAACCAAGAACAGCTCCAGCAATGACGCCTTACAGAAAGATAAAAATAGAACAAGTGCTCATTATTTAGCTACCATGTCAATAATAAGTTAACAAAATTAAAAGACTAGAGATTCTACTACAGAGGTAGAGAACCCTCAGTACAGGCGCCAGAGCATGGCACATGAAAGCATTTTGCTTGGCACGTGTGCCTCACGGTGGACAATGGGGAAGGTTATGCTGCCACAACAAAATTCAGGCCCCTCACAGCTCCCCTGCCATCTGCCCCTGGTATTAAAACATCTTACAAGTTGAAGTTCCAGGTGTTTTTGACACACTGCCCAAAACCCATTGCCAACCCCTGCTCTAGTATGAATTTCAAGAAAAGTTGGAAAAGATATACTTTGAGATTTTAGAACACCGGTTATCCATGTCTGTCCAAAGACTCAAAAGGAAGTGATAATCATTCATTTCTACTCCAAGTCCAGCTATCAATAAAACACAGAGTAACAAGTGTGAAGCTAGTATGTTCTAAATTAAGAGAGTGCAAAAATCACATAGAGATGTTTTTCCAAGTGAATAACGTAAAAGAATTTTACATCAGCTGAGGAAGTAAATAGGGATAATAAGAACAAGTGCAAAGCCCTGCACTTAGGATGGAACAATCCCATGCACCAGTACAGGCTGGGGGCTGACTGGCTGGGCCACAGCTCTGCAGAAGAGGACCTGGGGTTTACAGAGAACAATAAGATGAATACAAGTCAGCAGCATGCCCTTGTTGTCAAGAAGGCTGCATTGGTAAGGGTGCTGCCAGCAGATCAAGGGAAGTGATTAATCCCCTCTATTCAGCACTGGTAAGGCCACATCTGGAGTACCATGTTCAGTTTTGGGCACCCCCGACAGAAAAGATGTGGACAAATGGGAGAAAGCCTAGTGGAGGGCAATGAAAATGGTTTGGGGACAGAGGCACATGACTTCTGAGAAGAGACTGTAGGATCTGGTCTTATTTAGTCTAGATTAGAGAAGACTGAGGTGGGATTTAATAGCAGCCTTCAACTGCCCAAAGGGTGGTTTCCAAAGAGGACGGAGCTAAACTGTTCCCAGTGGTGGCAGATGACAGAACAAGGAGCAATGGTCTCAAGTTGCAACAAGGGAAGTTTAGGTTAGGTTAGATATTAGGAAAAACTCTCTCAAGAGGACAGTAGTAAAGCCCTGGAACATGTTACTCAGAGTGGTTGTGAAAACTCCATCTTTAGAGGTTTTTAAGGTCCGGCTAGACAAAGCCTTGGCTGGGATGATCTAGTTGGGGATGGTCCTGCTTTGAGAAAGGAGTTGGATGAGATGAGCCTCCTGAGGTCCCTTCCAACCCTCATTTTCTATGATTTATGAGCTGACCCATTTTTTCTTTAATCATAGAATTCTCAGACTCAGGGCTTCATTTTTGGCCATGGATTTCAACTCCAAGTGAAAATGTGTACAATCCATTGTACTAAAGGAGCTGATCAGATAGTCTGCGGTGCATCTTACCTCAGGTTCAGATTGAAATAATTTCACAGACTGTGCCCAGAGAAAGGAAGAACAGTTCTGAGCTTAAGCTAAAATATGTAAGAAAACATTAAGCAAATTATTACTAATGCAAACTAAGTTTTGTATGCTAAAAACTGCCGTTACAGAATGGGCAGACTTCTAGTGCACCAATAACTAAAAAAAAAAGCAGTGTTTCTGTACCATCTCTCAGCTAAAATTGTAGGTGCATTCTAACTGAGTACTGGGACCCAAGAGGCAGTAGGTCTCAATCCATCTATATCATTTTATGCTTTAGTATCAGTGTTGAAAAATCTGAAAAATAATATCCCTGTGAAGAAGATTCCTCACAAGATCCCTGTGAGGAATCCCTATAAGCAATCATAGAAAAAGTAAGGCTAGAAGGGACCACAGGAGTTCATCTAGTCCAACCTCCTGCTCAAGGCAGGATCTTTCCTATTCAAACCGTCCCAGACAAGCACAGGTCTAACCTGTTCTTAAAGCTAAACACAGTTTTGCTAAACAATGTCCTGCCACTGTAGGAAAGGAAATGATTGTTAAAATATACTTGAGATCCAAAAAACTGACAAGGAATAAACAAGAATTTATGTGGAGCTGATGAACTGTATACTTAAAGATCAACTACATTACAAAACAGACCCATTCCTCTCTACATTGAAATCAGAAAGTGTTTTCCTAAACACATCTAGACCAAATATTTAGGATATAGGCAGTCCACTATTTTATTTTAGCAGTACCTGGATTCTGGGGTACTTGGAATGCTCCAGAATAAGGTGTGAATGATACATAGCTCCTCTCTTCAACAATAGGTCCGGTTTTATTATTGGCATAGGTAATATCAGTGAAACCTGCAACACAAGCCCTGGGGAGAGGAGAAAGAAATGTAATAGTTGTATTAGATTATGTTAACCACTCAATCCTAGCAAGCAGTATTTATGATCTCATGATCAGATAACTATTTAGACTTCATATGTATACAAGGGAAATAAAATAATGAATTGAAATAAATACCTGTATAAAACAAAGGGCTCCAGTGGTCCATTGTAATAAGAAAGTGTGGTGGTTGCATTTCCTACTACAACTGTGTAAGGCTGACTTTTGGAGACTGAGGGAGAAGCCCTTGTATGTTCAATGATCATAACGTATGTTACATAGGTATGTGCTTTCTTTTTCTTGAAGTCACTGTATGTCAAGTTCAGGTTATTTTTTGAAGGCTTGTTATCTTCTGAAAGACAAGAGACAACATATACATCAAGTACTATATTTCTGTAAAAACAACATAACTGAGAGGGCACCTGTAGTAAAATATTGAATAAGATTCTGACTATTCCTAGGGTACTGCCTAAAATTAAAGTCTGAGAAGACTCTACTCTTTTTACTGTAAAGCAATTTATTTTAACTCCTTTTGCTCTCAGAAAAAGTCACTGGCTATTTTAATATCCTTTTTTTTTTCAGTTGTAATGTGTGTGGCAGATCGGATGTTGCAAACATCAACTGGTCCACAAAAGGCAACTCATAATGAAATTGTCAGTACAGAGAATCCAGTGATTCACTAGACAGATTGTCAGGTTAGAACAAGAACTCGAGAAGGCATTTGAACAAGCATAGTGTGTTAAAACCATTAGACTGTTTTGAAAGGGGCAAACTGAGTTTGGTAATGTGTCAACTAATTAAACCTGAAGTGTCCCCATAATCAGCCAACAGGATGTTCTTCACAACCTGTGCCTAGTTTATTGCCCACAAAATGGTGTTTCACAATGAGTCAGAACATGAACTTGAGAAGCAGTCTGTTAATAAATATGACCTTGTTTTCTAGTGAGGACCACCTCTTAGAGGGCAAGGTCTTCAGCACATAAAATCTCAATAGGCAGAATTTTGAGAGCTGTTTTTATCATCTTTATTGGCTGTTGTGAATGATTATAAGCAACAGTCAACATTATATCAAATGGGAGCTTATAGGGAACTAGGCATTTTTCCCCAGAAGACTCAGAAGAACTATTTACTGTGACAGCTAGACTCCTAATGCTTGATGACAGCAATACTTTTATGTCATTCAAGCACATTTCAAATCAAATCAAACATCATTTTAATCTAATGATGCAATATTCCAGGGTGAAGTGGTAACACGGAATAAATAAGCCTCATCAAACCGGAAGCCAGATTGTCTAAGTCCATTAGGCTACTTCTCCCTGTTTCTGCTCCATGATTCTGTCAAGGAAAGACTAAATCCTAGAATTTTAAGGCAGATTATAGAAATGAGGCATGTAAAAACTCTGGGGTATCAAAGCAGTTTGAACTGCTAGCTGTCAGAGACAACTCAATAGCACACTCAGTTAAAAGTTCAAAGTGTTATGAGGAGGGCATAGCTCACTCCCCACTCATTGCTGTTTTAAAAATGCCCCTCTCCTTATAGAAAATATAGTATTAGTGCAATCTCTAAAAAAGATTACAGACTGGCTACAAAAAGCTGTTTCAGGAGTGAGGTGTAAAGCTGGGTGTGTGCATACAACAGAAGTAGATTGTGCTGAATTCTACATTTCTCTCTAAACCAAGAGCAAAGCTTTCACTGACTTTTTAAGATCCTGGGATAAGAGAGAAAAAATTAACACAGCCCCTCAGAAACACACTTTGCTTTGTATTATCATATTTGAGATATGGATGAAAAATGATAATAAATGAATTACAGTACTGTCCCAAATAACAGAACCCTACCCCAAATGTAGTAGTGCAATAAGGCTAATAGTATTTGGAAGTTAAGTAGCTGTGTTGTTATTAACTGTACCATATTATTAACTGACCCATGCCTTTTCCTAATTTTTCCCTTTGCAGTAAAGCATAAATCTGAAGTTGAAAAATTTGGCTCTCTATTTCAGTTTCAATCACACTTAGAAAAAACTGTTGCCTTGGCTGTGTGTCAAAAAAAAGGGAGAACCGGCTTCAAATATAATCCTGATTTGATGTTACTAGTTAGAAATGTATGAAAAAAATTCAAACATGTTGATAACGTCTTAATTATCATTAAAACGCAATTTTGGAACAGCTGATTAACACAGGCTGTAAATAATGGAATCCAAGAAGCTATTCCAGTACCATTGGTATATAACCATCAGGGTTGTATAACTGAATACAGCTACTTTACCACTCTCTACTGAACATGTATTTAAACAAAAATAGAGAGGGAAGACCTACGCCCAAACTGCTGGGAAATGCATGCTTACTGTTAAAACAATAAGTAGAAGGATCATTGTCCTAGATAAGGAAGTCATTAGAAACCTTGCACGTGGGAAATGTACTGCATAGGCTGCCTTTCTTTAAGCTTTTTCAGGACTGAAACAAGATTTTAATTGACATCAAATTGCAAAGAACCACCTCCCCAATTTTCTGAATCAACACTAATTAACACTGTAGCTATCCATTTAAATGATTTTCTTTGGTTTGACCTTTTAAACAGGTTCATATCAATCTCTAGGGAGTTTCTTACATTCAGTGTTCCTGAGCATGACACCAACAATGTTATCCCTGCATTTCATCCATAAAGATAACCCACCCATGGTTAACAAATTTAAAATTGGAGGGGAGTCCTATTTATTTATTTACTTTTATATTTGATTATAATATTTTTGGAAGGGGGTTGGTGGTGATGGGAAGAAATGGACAAAACATTCCAAGTTCAGAAGTTTTTTTACTAGTCCCTAAAATCGTTCTATAAAAAAAATAAACAAACACCATGCACTTTTTTGGCTGGGGTTACAGGCACACGAATATGGAAGTGGCACACAGGGCACCGTGGCAACCTGCTCTTTTGAAAAGCCTGTGTGAGCCGGAATATTTTAGGCAGAAGCTCAACTGTGGCCTTATGAAGTTAGTAAGAGTAGTAAGAGTTGTGACATTGTTTGGGGCCACCACTTTACCCTTAAGTTTTTGAATTGTGACTGCAAGTATTAGGGGTAACTTCCTCTCTCTATTTACCATGTTAGGACCCTAAAATAATGTGCAAAGCTATGAGTTCATTTAAAAAAAAAGTCTATCCTGTTGGATACACACATGATGATGTCCAATTTTCAGAAGCACACACCTGGGAGGTCATAGCATCACCTCAGAACAGTGTAACAATGTCATCTTACCATTAGCGGTTGTGATTAGGACTGCATAAGCCTTTAAGGGTCCATGTTCAGACTCAAACGGACTAAACTGAACTTTAACCGACTTGTGATCAATTTCTATAATTGTAGGGGGTGCACTTGGAGCAGGAGGGTCTAGAAGCAGAGAAAATATCAATTAGACTCTTACTACAAATTAAGGAGAAAGAAGTTTGCTATGGAGAAAGCATGATATGCCGAAAAGTCTATTTTCTCCAAATGCCCTGAAAAAAATCTTAAAGAGAAAGCCTATCATTTTCTATGGTCTCATATTACTGCAACTTACCTATAGGGCACAACCCCCCATCATTCAGCGCATTTCAGTGGCACTTAAGGGCATACACAAGATGTGCCACACTTACCTAAATTCAAGACAACCCTGAATTTAAGTTCACTCCCCCAATAATTGGATTCTATATATAAAATATATATAAATTTGTTATAATGTTCTATCTATAGAATCTAATTATTGGAGTATCATCTTACATTCATCTGTACCACCAGTGCAATGGGAAAAGCAATGTCGGGGGGCAGGTGGTGAGGAAGGCAGTAGATCGGCAGACAGCTTGTCCCCCACCACCTGCCCCTCCCCCACGCCACAGCCTCAGGCTCTTGCCTCTCCTTCCCCCCTCCATCTCCAAACCATGCCACTTCTGCTCCCCCTCTGCAGTCTCAGGTCCCACAGCCTCGCCTTTGCCCCACTCCCACTCTGACATCCTCTACGCCTCCAACAGACCCTACCCCCACTGCTGCTTACCCTTGCTCTGTGCTGGCAAGCTCTGTTCTCACTCCAACCAGGGGTGTGGAGCATGGCCACAGCCCAACCCCATTTCAGTGGTGGTAGGGGGCAGATGGGGGCCCAAGGCTGCACGCGGGAGGGAAGAGGCATAGAGAGCACAAGTGGCAGGGATGGTGGGTTGGGGCAGAGCACAGCTGAAACAGCTGCCTGCCCCCTGCCCCACCCACCCTATCTCCTACTCTATACTAAGATGAGGACCTTTTCCCACCACCTCAATGGAGGAAAACCTTGCTCTGAAATCCAGTAAATACTGTATTACTTCTTGTGCTTTAATAAGCTTGAAAATGTAACAAAAAAACCCTGGTGGATAGATGAAATACAATGCTATAGTTCCACAAATCAAAATCAGAAATAACCCTAAGATTTACAGGAATAACTCTGAAGTACTTTTTGTAGAAGACTCTCTGGAATAGCAACTGAGAGGTATGCTGACATCTCTGCTCACCAAACCCTCAGTTAAGGAGTGTCACAAAAATATGGGCTCCAACAAATCTTGATACTATTCTTCTGGGTGCAGGTAGTATGGCTTTACATTACTTACAGACTACAAATTAAAACTGACAGATTTTCAAATAAAAATGCAAGAGGGAAGGATTTCTTAGGGTATTATCTTTCATTGCACCAACTGTATGGTTGGGATAAAGTTAGACAACCTTTCAGATGCAAGCCATTCTTCATCAGGTCCCTGATCCCAAATGCAGCATGCAGGTCACTGACAAAGAAGGTCTTGCATTCAAAATCTTACCTAACCCTATCCCAATATGCAATAAAAAATATCACCCTAAGAAATTCTCGCCACTCTCAATTTCTGGACCATCATGAACATCAGTTTTATATTTTGAATGAAAGTGAGATTTGAAGTGCTTTAAATGTACTTCTGTCAATACCCCAACAGGGGAGCTTTAAAATCTAACCAAGCAAACACATATAGTGTCCATGCAGATAAAAAATGATATATGAGAAAGTGAGAGGGGCAAGGATTTGTATGGCTGATAACTTTTTGGGGGATATGACTGGGATAGATGAGCTTTCAACTGCAATGCATTTCTATGGACTGCCAATAAAAGATTACCCACCAAAATCCTTGCCCCTCAAACTATTCCTGGCTTGCCCATCATGGCTACAACATCACTCCAACGCTACTATAAGAAAAAGAATGCCTATAATACACATATTAGTTCTATACCAGGGGTGGGCAAAACATGGTCTGTGGGCTGAATCTGGCCCACCAGGCCATTGTATTTGGCCCACAGGGCCCCTAGAAAATTTAGAAAATTAATATTTATCTGCCCCTGGCTGCTTGTCAAAGACGACAGGAGCCAAAAGCAATAGGACCCAGGGGAAGCCACAGCAGGACCCTGGAACAGCAAGCAACTGGAAGCCACATGGTGCCGGAGTGGGAGGCAGGCAGGAAAGTGGGGAAAGCAGTGGCGGGGGGCAGGGGACAGTGAAAGAGAGTGGCGTGCAGGGCCCATGCCTGTGTCCCAGAGCCAGCGCTGGCAAGACCCAGAATGGGGAGGCAGGAGTGCAGGGCGTGGGCTGGCAGGGGTCTATAGATCTGGGCTGGGTTGTGCCAGCAGGGAGAGGGGGGAGCTGACCCGGCTCCATCGAACCCCTGCCAGCTGGGACCCTAGGCTCCTGCCACCCAGCTTTGGGCCCCACCAGTGCAGGTGTGGGTTCTGAGCTCCCGCTCAGCTGTCACTGGCTCCCGTGCACCTGCTCGCTCCTAGTCCCCCCTGCCCCAACCCCACAGTACAGGCAGGGGTGAGCGCACGCAGCCCCAACCCCACGCTCGCCCATCTGGGCTGAGCAGTGGGTGCATGGAACAAATTGTTGCTCAGAGTGGGAGAAAAGCAGCCCCTCCCCCTCTCTGTGGCGGTGCTTCCTGGTGCAGCCACCCAGACACCACGCGGGCCTGTTCCATGTCTCCACTGCATCACTGCTGCCTCTGGGCTGCTCCATGGGGCAGCAGTGGCAGTGGAGAGCAGGCAAAGGCAGACCCATGTGGGCTGCAAGCAGCTGCACCAGGAAGCACCGGCAGCAGAAGGCAGAGGAGCTGCTTTTCGCCCATGGTGAGCACTGCCGCTTGTGAGCTGGCCAGTGCAGGTGCTCCACACAGCCATGTCTGCTGCACTGGGCAGCACAGAAGTGGTGGTGAAGGAGCCACACCACAGCCTAGCATGGCACGGGCTCTGGGCGACCACAGCAAACACTGCCTGGCAGGAGCAAGGACAGTGGCCACTTTCCTAGGCCCCATGCAGCGGTTTGTGCCCAGCTGCTGCTGCTGGTACTCAACACTGATGGGTAAGTGCAGAGCCAGTGCAGGGCCCAGGCTGAGCAGCAAGGACACAGAACAAATTGCTGCTCAGCACGGGAGAAAAAACAGCCCCTCCCCATCCCACTGCCAGCACCCCCTGGTGCAGTCACTTGCAGCCCACACAGGGATGCCTATGCCTGCTCTCTGCTGCCACCACTGCCCCAAAGGGCAGCCTAGGGGCAGCAGCAACATGGAGAGACAGAACAGCTCCACGTGGCTGCACCAGGAAGCACCAGCCATGTGGATGGGGAGGGGCTACTTTTCTCCCATGCTGAGCAGCAGTTTGTTCTGCACCTGGCTGGGGTGGGGGGGGATTGGGAGCGAGCAGGCACGCAGAAGACAATGACAGCCGGGCGGGAGCACAGGGTCCATGCTCATGACCCGGGCCAGCGCCCACGGGCCCAGAGTGGGGCGGCAGGAGCGTGGGGTCCCAGCCAGCGGGGGTTCTATGGAGCCAAGTGGGTTCCCCCCCTTTCCCTGCTGACAGAGCCCAGCTCTGCTCCATAGATCCCTCCCAGCCCACGCCCCGCTCTCCTGCCGCCCCACTCTGGGCCCCGCTGGCACTGGCCCTGGGACACCAGTGCACGTCCCGCACTCCCGCTCGCTTCACCTCCCCTCAGCCCCTGCCACGGCTTTCCCCACTTTCCTGCCCACTCTCTGGCTGCTCTGCACCATGCTC